AAAGGCGCCAGACGAAAACGAAGCCGGTATCCGAAAACGAAGCCGGTATCCGAAAACGAAGCCGGTGTTTGAACACGACACCCTTTGTTTCAAACGGAGGCGTTCTATGATCTACCCGAATCATGGTAAATAACTATACCTTTAAGATGTGTTTTTGAGTAACGATAGTAGAGTTTTTGTCGTTGCTGCGACCGCTGTCCGGGAAAGGTTCGTGTGAACATTGTGCTTTGCAAAGAAAAACAGTGACTACGATGCAAACGCAACCGTTTATCCAAAACGAAGGCTTTGCATGTGAAAACGAAGTCGGGTTTCCAAAACAGAATCGTTACTTGAAAACGAAACTGGTACATGAAAACGAGACCGCTGGACGGCAACGACACCGTTTTGTCAAAACGAAAACGTTGTAGGTAAAGACATGCGTTCTGCAGCACAGACTCATGAGCTCTCACTGTCACTGCGCGCATGTTTTTTTCAGTCGCTTTGGTAGTGGTGCATGTACAAAGCGAGCGTCAGTAGGTAACGCTGCATCACCCTCAGAACCATTGTTCCCCCATGAGCTTTGAGGGCTATGCTTTTCAACTTCCCTAAATATGACTCATCTTGGAACGTATCCAAGATGTTGTGATTCACCCGCCACAACTTCAATCTTTCAGCCATGTGAAAGTTGTAGTGGGTTTTCGGTCTAATTTTGAAAAGCCAAAGCTTGCGAGGCTTGAAATAAAGGGCAAGCCAAACAAAGGCTTTGATGTGGAGACGCAGCAAATCACCAGCATCATTGGCGTCAGTCTGGGTCAACACCATACCTCCCGAATCTTGAATTTCAACAACGCGTTGCAAAGACCAAGCGCATGTCGCCAAGACTTGGAGCACTGTGTCCTTACAAGCATTGCGCGCGCTACGAAGCACTCATCAACAAAGGTTATTAAACAAAACGCGACATCAACACGCGTAGCATGTAAGGGTCCTCACTGTGCTCTGCAATAGCTGAAGTTTTCATCGCTAACCACCACACCATAAGTTTGATGGTCGAGGCCTTGTACCGGGAAGACATTTCTGCGTAGTCAGAGAGCCCTCCGATGCTGGCCGTGCAAAGAACAGGTTTGCAAGGTAAGTACGACCTTAAATACAACTCCGCGTTTCCAAGAACGACAAGAACTTCTTTCGTATTGAAGCCCGTAGAAAACCGAAGAGTGTTTGAGTGCTTCGACGTTTGAACCAATGAAGATCCCCCATCAGGTTGACTTGAAACACCAAAAGGTTCCCAACAGTTTTTTTTGGAACAGTGAACAACTAGAGACACATCTTCACGTAAGTGTCTAGTTCTGAGATGAAAGGTAAAAGACTAGCCGGTCCAAAACGTGTCTAACTTGGAGGAAACCTTGGAAGAAACCTTGGGTACAAGAAGAACAAACAATTGTTGAAGTAATTGCATGAAACCCATTCGAAGCACAGTCATTGTGCATTTCTTTCTGAACCACATCTAAGATTGTGTCAAGGTCATCACTCTGAAGGTGATCGTAGGCTCCTCTCAAAATGAGAGTTCGAACTCCGGAGGCGATGAGGTCTCGAGCTGTCCCTAGGTAAATCTGGTGAAGAAAGTCGTAGGCCACAGTCTCTACGTTGAAGCCTTCTATCAATGAGAACGGTGAGACTGTATCTGGGTTCTCCATAGCTACGTAGGTGTCGTGGTCTAAGACGGTCAACCTCCATGCTGCATCGGCGTTGTAATTGCCAGCGTGCATAGCATCAGGGGTTCCTTTGCGGGTGCTGGCCAGGCATGTGTCACAAAGCCTCAGCTTTGTAGCAGTCCCTATTAGCAGAAAAACATGAAACCCGATGAGCCCCAACAGACCAGGGAAAACAATTGTTACTTGTTAAGAGCAGCTGTGCACACAGATAGTACCGTCGAAAGTTGCGCATGTACTTTCTTGCTTTCAGATCTGCTTTGCAGGCAAAATAGCACGCCCTTAGATTACAAAGGCAAAAAGCACAACAAAGACCCCTGTTTGGAGGGTGTTCGATGAACGGAAAACCATACACCCTGCATAATTTGCAGGACACAACCATGGAAGGTAAGCTTCTTCCACCCGTTAGCGAGCTCTTTGCCAGCCATTTCGCTTCTATAGCTGTTTGGTGGAAAAGGTTCACCGTAGTAGCCTTGTGTGGGCGCTGTCCCCAAAGATGCATAGTGCAAACTCCAAGCGATCAGCTTAGCGATTTCAGCGTTGACATTTTTTTGCACCTGCCATTCAAAAAACAATCCAATGGAACATCTTGCACTACAACTCACCTAGGTATGAAACGCCCTTTATTGTTATAAAACTCTTGGCACGTGCAAACATAGATCGGGGATTGCACTACTGAAGCCAGCCTGCTTCGATAGCATGAACCTCTCATGGACGATGGCGACGGCAAACTTCATCATTAGAGGGTCTTGTATGGGCCCACTGGATGCAAAGCAGCTACTCACGCTCCACACAAAACATTCATCATCTCTCTTCATGACTGCGCCATCGCCATGGATGTTCACGCCAATCAGCCGAGCGAGGTCCACGTCACTTTGAAGAATGGGGTGGTTCTTCCACGGGCTCAGGGTCTTGATATGCCCCCAGAACTGGTACCTGGAAACATCATCGAGGCATCCCAACCATACTGAATCAAACACGAACGGTGAAGCAGATATCATGTGAAGAACTTCGTGTGGAAGAAGAACAGGAAGTGAAACAGTCCGCTTCTTTTTTCCTCCAACCTTGGATCCATGAATGGAATAGAGATGGCTTTGCATTTGGGAAATAAACACGGGTCGTTTTGCGTTGAGGGCTGTGGTGAGTCCAAACTTTATAGAAAACAAACCGGTAAACATGAAAGAGAAAGAGGGCCCAGAGTTAGGCAAGAAGCATTCAACTCCACGGAAATCTTGTATGGTTCAAGTTTGAACCCGTAGAGATTCCTCAACCATCGGTGAAGATCCCTTTCGCAGTTCTGAGGGTGGTCACCGTTTGACCCCAAAGAGGCAAAAGCTTTGATTGCACCATCCGGTAAGTCAACATCCTCAGAAATGCCCTGGGCAATCTCGACAGCTGCTGATACACTGAGCTGACCTCGCCCTATCATATTTGACAGGGTTCCAACGGTTCGGGATGGCTCATAGTCCTCCAAGCGCAATCGCCTGAAGGGTTTCACGAGAAAGGTCTGTTTTTAAGCCATCAACTTTTGATGACACTTGAAGCTACCTCTTTCTTAAAGAAACGGCTTGAAGACTCTCTCCAATTGAACCTGAGGCATTGCCATGGAATCGCTTGACCGCTTGCCTTCTTTTGGATGAAGAGGCCTGGTTGCCTGGCATTCCCGCGTACATGAATAGGTGAAGGTTGTTGGATTGCGAGGTATGAGAAAGGCGCAAACGCTAGCTGGCTTTTCCTGTCTAGAGTCTGCGTAGGTTGAAGCCCAGGGCGTTGGCCTATCAAGAAAATATGTAGCGTGTATGTGTATATATATATAAATATAACAGACGGTTTGGAGCTTATTGATCATAGGTTCAAAAATGATGGCCACGCTTCTATGGGCAGTGCTTAGATTGATCTAGATTGGAACCCTTGGCAAGTGGTCATCACTTGCGGCCTTGTCCTTGACAAGTGAAAGCCCCTAAAAATACCCCTGGACAGTGAGACATCATTTACTCACTCTGGCTTGGCAGCAGCTACCTTTCTCTTCTTCTTTGTGGATCCAGTCGGCGTCGACTCATCCTCCCCCTTCTTATCGGACTTCTTCTTCTTCGGGCCCGATCTCAGGAAGGCTCCTGCAGCGGCCTCGAGGAGAAGAAGGGAAAGCTGGGGGAAGAGGTGGTCGACGACAAGTAGATTGATGTTTTTTGAAAGTAGGTTGAAAGAGATGATATACCTGCTCTCTCTATCCATTTCTCAACAATCCCATTGAAGAAAACATTGAAAGCCTAAAGGCCGCTATGTTTCTTGAACCGTTTTTTGAACGAAGTCGGGCCTTGGCTTTTTCACCGAAAGCCTTCTTTTTTTGCACAAGGTCCAGCGTCTTTTGCATGTTGGCCTCAGATTTGTCCTCCACCGCTTTCCGCAAGTCTTTGTAGATCTCCTCAAGAGACACTGCATAGTCGAGCAATTGCTTGCTCAACTCAGCGGCGTACTGGATATTCGATAGCTCCATGCTTTTGGTGCGGGACGAAGCAGCAACTTTGAGTATCTCTGCCATTTCATCTTTGGCTGTTTCCTCAAGAGTCTTTGGAACAACCTCCTCGCTCTTGTTCTTTTCCTTCTCTTTCTTTTTCGACTTCACGGGCGCAGCCTGCAGAGTACGCAAAGACAGAATTTTGTTTGGTTTTGTAAACATTTGTAAACATAAGGTGGAGTCATATGTCTCGTGCATTGGAAAGACACTGTATTTGGAGAGGCTTTGTTTTTCACCGTCATAGCTGGAACCAAACAAAGGCATCAAGGAACGGCCATGCGCCTGAGCCATCGCCGTGAGGAGACCCTTGTTCTGCTGCTGCGACAAGCCAGAGATCTCAGGCAGGGCTCCCGCTCGAAGGACACCATCGCTTTCATCAGTCAAAGCTTGAAGACCAGCTTTGTCAAGACGCGACGCTGCCGTGATGTTCACGCTCTCGGAAGTCGTGTTCTCGGTCTTGAAACTGCTTCCAACGCGCATAAAGTACCAAGTTTCCTGAGATTGCTTTTCAACAAATACAAGCCCGATGAACTCATATTGAGAGCACCCCCTTATAAGCTTCACACCATACTCGCGATGCACAAAGAGACGCGAATTAAAGGCTCTTATGCAAAGACAACACTAATGGAGACTGAACATCAGAAATATGTTTTGCACTATCGCACAGAGTCATCGACATCGCCTGGAAAGTCTTGGTCTTCATAGAACAAACCAGCCGCTTCTCGCGCCTTGACCACCTTATTGAACTTTTCCTCATTGTCCCCATAGCGTTTCCTCAACTCTCTTCCTTGCACAGCTTCCCAGCCAGCTGTGGCCCGCTGAGTGGCTTCAGCCCGACGGGTCAGCTCCAAGCATGCACCCTGGACATCGTGGCCGTTGTCGAGCCAGATGTTGAAGAGGTCCACCTTGTTCTTTGCTACGTGCTCACTCAAGCCCGCCACAGCAGCGTTCTTGGAGCTTGTCAACCTACGGTTGAATGTGTCCCACTCCCGCTTGTTGGTTGTGCCTTAGTACCGAAGAAGCGAGCAAAAGGAAAAGCGCCAACAAACGCGAAAGGGCATTTTTGGGGGTGGCCTAGTGGGCGACCTTTTTTAGCCTCAAACGCCTACTAAATTGACCGAAAAAGGACACCCCCCAAATATGCCTTTTGGAGTCATAAGGAACCCAAAGCTTCTTGGAACATAAGCAACCCATGGGACCCAAAGCTAAGAAAGCAAGATTGCTCATAAGGAAAGCAAGGAACTGTTGCGCGTAGCCTTTTCTAGATCAGAGGTCCGATCCGAGGTTTCCTTCACGACAGGGACCAAAGCTCGACATTCTGAAAGAGCGGTTGGGTCCTTTTCATCTTCAGAGTCAGACTCACTGCCATCCAAGCCGTAGTCTGCACTGTCACTGCTTTCCCCTTCGTCTTCCTCCTCCTCTGCTTCATTCCGGTCTTCGTCCTCCTCCTCATCCTCCTCCGCGTCTTCTTCGCTTCCCACTTCATCTCCCTCTTCATCACATTCATTCTCCTCTGACTCGCTCTCTTCGTCTCCCTCCTCCTCCTCTGCCTGATCATTCTCTTCTTCTCCTTCTTCTTCCTCTTCATCAACCTCTGTTTCTTCTTCTTCTTCTACTTCGAGTGGCTTGGAAGAGGGTGCAGTCGATGACCCGCCAAGCTCCATATCAGTATCCTCGACGTCCAAATCATCAGAGAAGGTCTCTAGAGTGCTCATCAGGTCTTGCAACTTCGCTTCAGCAAGCGC